GTTGGCCCATGATAGTTGCAGAAGAAAAAAAAAAGAGTTACAGAGTGGTTTGCTCGGGCCAGTGCGGCATCGAGTGCCAGCCATGCCTCCCCAGGTTTGGGGCGTGACATCAGGCATGAACCAGATCAATCCCTTGTGGTGCATAGAAACGGGTAGATTCGAGCATGTGGGATGCACGTGGATAAGATAAGCTTAAATTCGTGTATTTAGTATCGCCTGATCGAAAATGTTGCATAATTGATAAGGAGAATGACTCCTTACTCAAAGAGAACACTATCCAAGATAGGGAATGACTTAGAAGTTGAGATCAACTAGAACTCTTCCACCAAGGAAGAGTAGCATTAGAACTCTAGTCATTTCTTAATCTACTAACTCTATATATTGAAGGATGTTCTCACTTTACAGGTAATACACAAATGCAGAAGTTAAACGTGAATTGAGAGCAAAATAGCAAGGCTTTTTGCAAGCAGCTCGTGTGTCAATTGTAGTAGGTATTTCATATTTGCAAGCTGAATCTACATGAACCAGATAGAAGAACCAGTTCCAAGTGTCTTTCTTTTACTCTAGTTCAATTGTAGTAGGTATTTCATATTGTACCTTTCAGCTTTATCTAGAGGCAATTGTAATAGGTACTCAGAGTATTCAAGTTAGAGTTAACTTGAAGTTGTCGCAACAGTTAGAGGTTAGTTGCTACAACGGGATTAGAGTTAATCCTAGGTTTACAAAAGTGTTTTGTAAATGCAGTTTTTGGCTCAGTGATTTAGTGAAGAGTTTGGGAAAATCCTACTGGAAAATAGGTCGTAGTTTTTCACCTTTTAAGCCTAGTGTTTTCCACGTAAAATACTTGTGTTCTTTACTTTCCGCATTTACTATTTCTAGAATAGTAGGTTAAGGAACACTTAGAAAAACCATGTCCTTCCGTAATTAGTTTAAGCTAAAAATTGGACACCACACAAATCTCCTCCTCTTGTGTGGTATTGAAGTTAAAACATCACTTTGGTAAGTTTAACGCGACAAGTATCAATCAAAGACGCGCTCATAAATTATCCGTGCTATTTGTACATCATGCTCCTTTACAATTTTGAATTTAAGAAAGTAATCTTTTTAGATCTTTTATGTGTAAAAATTAATCTCCTATATGTAAAAAAAAAAAAAAAAAAGAGGTAGGGTCATAAAACTAAAAATAAGTTTGTAAAGAGCCAAAAAACAGTTGACCCACAACGATCCTAGAAGCAAAACAAAGATCAAAACCTTTTCTAATCCAAGTGCTAAATAACCAAAATTATTATTGAAACAACCTTTCTACCCCCTCGGGTAGAGGTAATGTCGGCGTACACATTACCCTCTCCAGACCCCACTTATGGGATTTTACTGATTTTTTGTTGTTGTTGTATATAAACGGATTTTGCTTTTTTTTTTAGAACCCGAGAAAACCCGCAGTCGCTACAGTCTCTGCTATAGCCTCTGCCCTTCGGGTGAGCACTCAGTGCGCACTAGGTAAATCCCCCACTGTGCAATAGCCTGCAAACCACATAGGGGAAGTAAACTACACAAGGCACTCTATGCGACAGGCTCAGACCCAAAAGGCATTGAGGGGGGATCGATCCCAAGTCATCACTATGCATAACCCCCCAAACCAACTGGACCGTCCCGAAGGACTACGGATTTTGGGTTTGTTGTTGTTATTATATTATATAAACAAAAAGGTTAGAACATTGTAATTCGTAATTCAGTTCATTCGACTTTCTATTTTTAAATTATAACACTCAGCTCGATCTCTCTATTCTTTTCATTGTGTTTAGTTAAACCGGAGTTCCAAACCTTTTGAAGCAAAAGGAGTACCTAACCTTGCATAAACAAAGTGGGCAAATAATGTATTATTTGGCTACAGTTTCATTTAAGAGATCGTTCATGCATAATATTTTGAGACACGAAAAGAGAAACGATCGCAAGACGTTTGAAGCATGAGAAAAAAAGGTCAATGTATTAATCAATCAACTACTACATCTTAATCCCAAAGAAATTCAACTATACTAATGTTCTGTAGCAATTCCTCTTTAATCCCAATCAATACAGTGAGGGTCCTGAATTTAGAAAATCCATGATGTCATAGTTTACACTAGGGGTGTCAAAATGATTAAAAGAAAACAATTAACTATCAATATTATCCATTAAAAATGAGTTGGATAATAAACTTTTTAAAGACAGGTCAAATATGGATAAGAAACACATTATCCATTTAAAAAATAGATAACCAATGGGTCTAACTTTTACATATGTAAAGTATCAAATTGGAGGTTCCTCAAGTTAGGGAAACTAAGAATTCTCCCCAAAGTGATCATATGCAAGAAGTCATGGATAATATAGATACTCATATTATCCGCCGGTTAACCCATTTTTTTATATCCGTATTAAATATGGGTCGGGTCGGCTAATTTATCTAGTTTTCGACCCGAACCATATCCGACCTGACCCGCCAGTTTGTCACTCCTAGTCTACTACCCGAGCATCAACCTATCGCAATTTTTCATGAAAATATATTCAATAGTGTGAAAAATAAAAGAAAATCAATGAAGTAGGCGCCAGCACTGTATGCAGATGAAGATTTTGCCCTTGCAATTACATGACTTAGGTCCAGCTAATTACATCGTTTCCAAGCATACTTCAACACGCTGCATACAATGTTAGTTTTAAACTAGAGAAGAGAATGTCTGAGCTGTCTAATAGACATATATACATGGAGGGGAGGGTGGGCATTTTAAGCTATTTTCTTTCTTTACTCCATTTACTTTTTTTGAGATGGAACTTTGACGCGCTACCAGAGTTACCGTCGTGATAAAAAAAGTCACATGCATAGCAAAGCTTAATGCATTGGATTGCCTTTTCTAGTAGGAAATCTCATCTGTAATCCAGACCTTGCGCAAACAAACGTAAGCCTTTCATACATCAACCGACAAGAAAATAAATAGGTTCCCTAACTAAAACTGTCATCCATCACTTGTTGGAAAGATGAGCGTATGCCTTAACTAACTCTTAATTCACCAGAAATCAATAAAACAGCCTCAAGCTATAGATGGAAAAACAAAACAACAACAACAACAACAAACCCAGTGTATTTCTCATAAATGGAGTCTGACAGGGTAATGTGTATGCAAACCTTACCCCTACCTAATAAAGATAGAGAGGCTAATAAAGATAGAGAGACTGTTTCCGAGGGTTTATCTGAAACACCATAACTAGTAAAAGGAGTCTCATTTATAGAGGGAATGAATGTCACAGGAGACACAAAAACAGCTGGAAACTACATACAAGGTGTCAGAACACCCATTTAAGAGTAAGCGGAGTATCAAGAGTAAGTATATATTCCTGTGGGATCATACATTCCTTTGTCCTTTTATAGGGGAAAACAAAATATATATATAAGCATACCAGTCCAAGAGGTGTAACTAAATATTGATTATAAATGAAAAGTATAAACAGCCTCAAAATTTCCAAGTTTCCAAAAAGGTTCAAAACTTCAATTTCTGACCCTCTGTACCCAGCAGCCTAGTTAAAAATTATGTATTCTGACGGGAAGGCTGAGGCGATGGTACAGGGATATGCAGAAGATGCTACTATATTTGTGCATCAAGCAGATTGAACTGGCTCCAGTAGCTCTTTTCTCAACCAAGATTTTTTATGTATATGTTTCTAAGAAATGCAGTGATGGTCCGGTGAAGTACAGTGATCGTAAAAGGATCATTTGTTATTATGAGAAAGAATCTAAGCCCATGCACCATATTTAATAAGTGAGACTGCAAAGACAAAAGAAAGCTGATTGGGGAAAGCAGAATTGCTGATCCTACAGAAGCTGTTGTGTGATCCTTCATTGTTTGCTTCATCCTACTTTTCTTTACACCAAATTGGAAGATTTTTGCTTTCTAAATAAAAGTTAAATCTCTTACCTGCAGGAAAAGGTTGGGCGAATCTGCCGATTAGGAAATGCTCTTATGATCTCCAAGAGGAGGAGATTACTCGCCAGAGCTAGTAACAGAATAAGTAGATGATCTTCTTCACATCTTCCTTTTCTGGTCTTGCCAGTTCTAACAGACTCAAGTATGTCCTATAGCCAAAACTGGTATACTTGGACACATTCTAATATTCAAGTTTGACTGACATATTTTACCCAATATAACAATACATGCTAAGTTGGAAAAAAGAAATCCAATCCTTCCCGAGTCACATAAACATGATGCACTTAATTTCAATGACCAAAAGGAGATAGGAGTTTACTAATCCTGCTAGATCATACGGAAATAATCTCCCAATTGAAACCAATACACACTGTACATTTTCAGCACTAATACGGAAGACTGTCTGAAAGTAGAGTTTAGTACACTGCACCAATATTGTCCAGATATCAAAATGCATTAAAACTTTGAAAATTATATGGCAGATTTCGCTGCACACTGTAGAGAACACAGCTTGAGAGTATAAACGACATTCGACCAAATCTTGCACTTTGAAAATCTATAAACAAACTTTCTAATTTCATGATCCCTATGAATTCTGTACGTTTGTATCATATGATTGCCACAGAAATTCGTTACGAGAGCAAAACTAGTTTGTACATCACTCTTTGGAGGACAAGAAACATCTCAAGGCAACATTAATTTACATGCTATTTTCCGATAAAACTTAATACTCGGTTTTCTTTTGCAATATCCAAAGAAAATAACTCCCCTAGCATAATTCAGTTACTGACTCGAAAGTTATCCTCAAGTCTTAACCATGACTCATGCAAAATCAAGAAGTATGTTTAGAAAGCACATAGATTGTTCACCCTTTGTCATGTGTAGCTCCAGACAAACTGGAGATCTCCTCCCCAATATAGGAAAGCAAGCAGCATCTCCATTGACATTCGCGAAACAGAATCAGTTTGCGAATGTCCCCTGCCCCCAAACAGAGTCTGGAAGACTGTCAAGCCACATTATGACGGAAAATCAAATAACAATAGAAAGTAACAAATTCTGTCCATCCATATCTCAAATTCTATTCTTTACATACATTAGGTTACACCATTGCAACCAAAATCTTTCAAAATATACCCATATAGTTTTAACTGAAATAAACTAGACGAACACTAGATACAATCCCAAGATGCTATCCTATTGCTTCTACATAATTCAATACATTATACCTCCAAAATTGAGGCATAAATGCAGCAATGCTCAAGCTCTAAGCTTTTCCCCCTTGGTTCCTCAATCCTTGCAAAATCTCCAATCCATAATATTAAGCCCTTAAAACACTATAAAATAAATCCAAACATAATAGAGAACCATCAAAAGCACAAATACTCAACATGAGAAAGGCCAGACCTTTTGCCATAGAAGGAAAAGTTTGGATACACCAGCTATGCCATATCTACTTCTGCAACAAACATGCAATTCTCAATTCTATCTTAACATCATATAAAGCATCACATTTGCCAAAAATAATACTCCCTCCGTCCCAATTTATGTGGCGGATGTTTGATTGGGCTCAGAGTTTGAAAAAGAGAGACTTTTGAAAATTGTGATCTAAAACAAGTCATCTACATTTGTGGTTAAAACTCATCTCATTACGGATAAAATAGAAAGTTTAACATTAAATTACTTCTAAACAAGGAAGCATGACATTTTTTGGGACAGACTAAAAAAGAAAGTATGCCAAGTAAAAAAACACAGACATAGAGAGAGAGCTGAGCCTATACCGTAGTATCATTAACTCTGAACGAATCAGCCGTGAGACCTACTAAATACATTCCAGGGAAAACATTCTGCAAAAAAACAAGCACACGAAGCAGACCATAAGAACAAAAAAAAGAAAGCAAAAGCATTAAAAAAACAACAAAAAGATGCTAGCTTTTTTCATACATCGAGTTGTTTTTGAATTGTCTTGGATCGTCTCTTGGGTCTCCTAGCGGGTCTTGACCCAGTCATAGAATAGACATCTTCCTCAATCTCTTCCCTTGACAACGAGATCCATAACTTTTTCTTTTTCTCTTTCTTACCCGACCCGAATCCATGCCCATTATCCACGTTATTATCTCTCACCCTCTGCGACCTTATATGATTACTGCTTTCAACTTCCATTTCAACGTTCTTCTTTAACGGCGCCGTTTCAGCCTCTAACCCCACCTTCATTACACTCTTTCTTGGCCTTAAATTCCACAACACTTTTTCCTCTTTTAGCCCTTCTTCTTCTTCTACATGTTTTTCTTGTCTTTGTTCTTCTACTGGGAGCTTGTCGGAGTCAGAACCACCGTTCAAGTCGGCGGGTTGGAGTGGGCTGAGGTGGTTATCGGCTGTAGACGAAGGAGACTCGCGGCGGCGGAAGCGGTGGTTGGTGTTAGTGTGACTTTTTTGGCCCCATTTCAACTGGGGTAAAGAGAAATAATGCAGTGGCTGTGACTTGACCGGTGCCGTTGCCATTACAGAACAGAGGACTGAAAAGAAAAATACTTCGGCCAAAAATGGTGCTATATGTGCAAGAATTATGGGTTCAAAGGAGAGAAATGAGGACGGCGCCGGTGGAAACAAAGAGAGAAACGAGAGGAGGTTTTTTTTTTGGTAGGAGAATGGTTTGGCTTGTGGGGGTGAGGAATAGAATGAGGGATATTAATANTTAAGATCATGCTATTGGCACTCCCTTTAGAGCTTCTCGCACTCTATCAAAAAGAGTGATATTTTTTTCTTTTTCTAATGTAATTAAGTAAAAAGGATTTAACTAGCAAGAAAAATTGGTGAGATTTAATTGGTCATTTTATCATGTTCGATTTAATTTCAAGTCAAAAGTTAGCTCAAAGGGAAAGATTTTATGAAGCCGCTTATATAGGTTGGGACAACCTCCTCTTCATGGTTGATTACAAAAATTGTATCTCGAAATCTACATGATTGTGTCATGTGAAAGATAAAGTTTATCGCGAGTATTGACTACATTGAAGATTAATGAGATTCGACTATATTAAAATTTAATGAGATTCAATTTGTTGTTTCTACATAAGTATACAATAGTTTATAATGTTAACTACATTCCGATAAAGAATATACTACTTGACTTTAATTAGAAAATAGTAAAATATGTACAAAAAAGAAAGAAGGGGAGCGCGCATAGAATGTTTTCAGCTGAAATAACGTCTTTTAAGATACAAACAAGGATGTACACTTTTTTGCAATATATCATATTACCTTATGCTTCTAATAAGATTCCATTAGGGTCTTGGTCGTTTCAGGAAAAAAAAATATTTAGTGTATTTCTACTGGTAGGATCTGAAGAGGGGTAATGTGTATGGACTTTACGCTTATCTTATAAAAATATTATTTCTGACAAATCATCTGCTAAAGAAAAATATTTCAAAGCAAGTTTGAAAATAAAAACAATTGTAAGGAGTTAAAAATAATGCACACAAGAACAATAATAACATTAAATGTGCTGTTTAAAAAAAATCGAGTAGTGTTGTGAAGTGTGAACAGATCACAGATGGTGACCAGAAGGCTTCCTGCATGGTGCTTGTTTGCTCTTCATTCCTTCAATCAACGTGGAAGCTTACTAGGATACAAGTTCCACATGCATCATTTTTATTTTCACTAGGAGTCTGATATTCGTGAGTATTATTTTTTGTTTGCATGGTTCAAACTCAAAACTTCTAATTATGTATAAATAAACGTTATATGTTTCACCATGATTCTTAACAGTCGCGTTAGTGCTTTTAATTTATGATACCTTATAATTTCAGGATATTTCACACGAACCATCATAACTTATTTACATATCTAACGATTTTGTTTCAACAAAATATCACATTTTAAGTATTTTTAATTAGCTTTTGGCCTCTATATTTGCTAAATTTGATTAAGGGGGTGTATATATATAACATACATAGAGAACTGCTACTATTTATATGCTGTATTTACTTTTGTTTAATTTCCTTGTGCGCGAATTTTATATCTTTTTCCATGTGCAACATTTGTGAAATTTCATTTGACTCGAAAGAAAAGTCCTCTTAGATTCATATTTATTTTCCTTATTTGACTGGTTGATTTCTTGCATAGAAGTGTCTCCAGTCTCCACTCTCCAATCATAAATTGAAAAAATGGAGGTTTAAAAGCATGTTTGTCTCCTCTTCTTCTTCTTAATTAAAAAAGATTTTTTTTGCGTATAGACTTGTACCAGATTCCTCGTTTCTCGTCATGTGTGTGTGTTTGTGTGATATATTATGAATGTCAAAGGCAAATGAATGTCACCAAAAAAAATTGACAAATAAAAAAAAACAGATTCTCTTTTTATTCATTCAAATAATTCGTTCCTCCTATGGATTTTGTTAAAGTGGTAAGATTGAGATCTTGGATTTTATAAATCTTGGTTGAGCGTGTTTTCCTTTTCTTGAACCTCAAGCGATACAGATATAAATTAGTCGAGCCTCAAAATAAATACTTAAAAAGAAAAGATCTCAAAATTTATAGGTCTTAATAATTCAACTATCGTTAGTGGCATTTATATATTACTTTTAATTTCTTCTTTTGACCATGGATATATATATATACCATTGCAACTGCAAATAATTTATCCATTGATAATTACGTGTAGTTGTTGACAAGTCTCTCTTTGTGTGTAGGTAATCGTACTGCTTCTCCGAAGACTCATTCTACCACAACCAGAAATCGTTTGGACACTTTTTGAAAAAGAATTTGGGCATAAAAAAAAATTCCCAAAAAAATTTCACTTTTTTTTAAATCAACGTTTGTTCATAAAATTTTCAATTTTCACTTGAAGATGCATTTTCGAAAATTTCGAAAATTTTAAAAACTCCCAAAAGTTGTTTTTCGAAATTTTCACTCACAAAACTTCAAAAACAACCCAAACTGAAATTTATGTCCAAACACAACTCTAAATTTCAAATACCATTTTCACTTGAAATTATTTTTCACCATTTTTTAAAATTTTACAATTCTTATGTCCAAACGCCTCCTAAATTTATTACTCAATCAGGTTATGTTTTCCTGTATCAACAAGTAACTTTTGATAACAAACCTAATATTAGTGGCGAAGCTAGGAGTTTCAGTAAATGCGTTGAAAATATAAAGAAATAAACATCCAAAGTGGGTTCAACATCTATTATATATAAATAAAAAATATTTTTGTCTTAATATATATAGTGTAATTTTTTCTCAAATAGGTTTGGCAAAATACATACTTTACCCATCGACTTTGTACTCAAATCCCGCTTACACACTTGTTAAACACGGGAATAGTATTACACACCAAAACTTTTAAAAGTGTGTCAATTACACACCTTTTTTGCCATGTGTCACACGCGTGTATTACAAATAAAAGAGGCGCGTGAAAACTAAAAAATTCACTTGAAATTAATTTTTTAAATTTTTTTTCCTTTTTAACTATTTCCTTTAAATTAAAGAAAAAAAATATAACCCATGACTTCTTTCCCAACCCCAAAACTCAGCTTTATCTCCCCCCCCCCCCCCC